TGACAAGTTATCATAAACTGAAAACTTCGGAGAAATTATTTCAATGTAATTTATCCTGAATAATATATAAAAGTTTTGACACTGAGATTCCTCCACTGAAATATTATTCTTCCATCACTATAATGATTATGATGATTTATTCAAAATGTTTACATGGTTTCAAATAAAAGCAGATTATTTACTGATGCATAATCTAGCAGTTGTTGAAAACCAGAGAAATTCAACGACACTGAAGTTCACTTAGTAGTATATTTTTAATAAGTTTTAGTAGATGAGTTTGGCAGACAGTTACTTTATAAGTTCCTTATAAGTTTGATTTTTAAGTCGTTTAGTGATATCATACTGATATTAGAACACACGAAATTCATCTATAAAGTTACTTAACCCTCTTACCTGTGGAGCAAAGGCCATCGACGAGGACTCTGTAAACAGCTCCATCCTAGACTCTGCATTCCTTTGATGTCTGCCTCGAATTCTCGGGGCAATGTGTCCTTTGGTCAAACTCTAAAATTCATAGATGCAAAACTATATCATACAGTACATAATAGATTTAGATAGGTATATATTACATTCGGGGGTAAATAGATACATATGAAACTACTTGTGAATCAATAGCTTAATGAATTCAAACGGAATTACGTGTATACTCGATTACTAAACAATCTCCAGAGTTGCACTCTTACCATGTCTTTTTTAATAATAAAAGTTTCTGTAGCAATCTGGAAGACTTTCCTGGTCTTCCACATTGTATGAACATTCCATGTACCTAAATTAATGGATGCTCTGGTTGTTAGAAGGGGCATCAGCCTCATGACTTCCGAAGGAACTCGATTTTCATCATCAGGTGTCATAACTCTTCTAAATGAAGACGTTCTAACTCCTAGGGCAGAGTTTAAGTGGTTTGAATTATTTTTTTTCTGGTTAGCGTTTTTTAGCGAGTTAGTTTCCTATAGGGTGTGATCGCTAACCCCAAGTCCAACCCTCCACGTTTATCCGGACTTGGGACCGGCAGTAGCTCAAGAGGGGCTCCAGGCAAAGTTCTACCCATAGAGTACAATAATCACAATTTAAAGTTTCTTTAATGGTAATTTATTTTTTCTTACATATAATCAAGGTAAAAGTGTGGTTTCAAAATCGTAGAATGAAAACAAAAAAATCGAAAACTCTCTCATATTCCAACGATGAAAAAACTTTACACCAAAATGATGACAATAGTAAAATTAATTATAGTGAACTACAATATTCAACGTTATTTGATAAACAAAAATTTATCAAAACAACTAATCAATGGAATGATAATATTTCTACAAATTCTGTTACATCATGTATCCTTGATTATGATTCTTTTGTTAATATGACTTAAAAATATAAGTGAATTTAACAACAACAACAACGACAACAACAACAAAATCACCTTCAAAATTATTATTGTTCCTGATGGTGATTATGATAAACACACCAAGATCATCATGTTGATTAATGTTGAAATCAGTGACCATTAACAAACTAAAAAAATAGTCCAATAAACCACTGAACATTTAATTCAAAAAATTATTCAACTTTAAAACTTCAATTTATTTTTTTACATTCTTGTAATTACGTAATAAATAACAAAATACTTTAGTCTCTTGATACAATACAACAATGAAAACACGAATAGATTATAAAATTGTACACCATTGTTCATTATTTGTAATGATAATAGTAGTTTAAAAGAAAACATGACAAGAATGAAAATTTTCCATGGAAATTCAAAGTGGTATCATTAAAGTGAATTCACTATGTCTGTTCAGTTATTGAAGTTCAAATTACTCGTCTATTGTAATGTAAAAGAAAACATTTAAGATCCATAGCAATTCATTACTGACCAAATATTTCAGATGATGAATTCTCTAAATATATAATAACAATAATAATATTATTATTATTATTATTATGAACCAGTTGATAGTACTGCTTGTGTACTAAACAGTTCTCAATTTCTAAGTGAGAAACAATGTTGCTTTATACTTATTTCTTTGAATAATAAATATAATACAAACATACTGAATAATAATGACAATTATCGTAATGTATAATTTGAATAAATTAGTGATTTGTATTACTCTCATTCTCTCTCCATCATCATTCTACTGATCTAAAAATAAACTTATAAGGATATTTACAAGAAAACACTCGGTTGAAACAATATCGTATGGTTATATATTGATGTTAATGAAGAACTAATAAAAAGAGGTATTCAATATGATAGAAAAAAAGAACTCGATCATTTGGATAAGACCCAATAGAAGTTAAAAGGTGACAGTAAATTCAACGGAATAATATGTGTTATTGATAGGTGGTTTACTAGAAATTAATTCCATCGATACTTCTGATGAGATGCAGTTCAAAATCTTGATTTCGGTTGTGCCATTTCAAAATTTGTTAAATGTTTGCGGATAATATCGACTCGCAATTTTTTTTAGGTGTCCTGAATACTTTAGAGACTCAAGAAAACTGCTTCGCCATTGAGTCTGCTTCTGTTTGTTACACAATAACTCCAATCTTAACATTCGTTTGTCAGAGCACATCAAATCATTTGGCTTATCTAATACTATAACAAGTATGTTTGTTAATCTAGGCACTAAATTTGTACATGGCAAATAACAAGCCTTGTACAGTCTCCACCTGTTTAGATCAGATTATTTGTATCGAACAGATAGTTAATCTACTTTCTTTAATTTCACCGTTTATTGAAAAAAATCAGTTATTACATATATGAATCCCATTGGTTTTATTTAAAGAATTTTCACAACACCAAACATTCCGCAATTAGGATTCCACTACATAGTTCGTGATTGACTAACGTATTAACGATAACATATTGAACACTAAAAGTTTTTAAAAATCTGGACGTTATTGTTAAGAAAGTATTTTGAGTATATCCTGTATACAAGTTTTACCGTATATAACAATTAACTTAGAGCATAAATGAGTTATTCGACAGAAAGCGACGGATAAACGCCTTCACATTTGCAATAAAGTCAGATACACTGAACAATGGAAGAGATTTAATAACTCAAAATGCCTTGCTCAACCTTAATCACGAAGCTCGACAAAGCTATACAACTCACTTCTAGTTTCATCACCTTTTCAAATCATGAAATATGTTCGTATTTTCAAGTGCCATCATAACTATTTATTGATAGTATTAATACATGAAAGTTGACTCATCTTGAACGGATAAATATTTAAACGATTCAAAAATTAGTGAAGTGCCAAATCATAAATACTGGAAAATTCACTAATACCCTCACCATTACGTGAAAACAATTAATTAATCAATATGCAAACTAATCGGGTATTATAGCTTATGAAAGTTTAAAAAATATAATTCATGATAATCCTATTTATCTTGAACCTATGATCAAAGTATGTAGACGTGAACAATTCACATCGAAGGGTTCACTTTATTTAGTTGAAGAAAGCTTTCAATAATTATGTATTCTGACCAATATCTGATAACGTCTCATGTACTATGTTGCACCATCTCCATGACTCCAAACAGAAGCCAGTCATGTATAACTTCCTTTTATACCACGACATGCGCTGACCACCTCTCCACTTTCCCCAACTATTCCCGGCGTTGATAAGTAAGGTACGACGTGGAATTAGCTGAGACGACATTCGTAGTACATAACCAACCACCGAAGCCGGTATTTCAAAATGTTGACACCAATCAAATTATTGTCAGTGCTCGACCATACATTGCCAAACTTCTGCATAATAACCTGGCGTTTCCACTGTCAGCGATCCTTCAAAGACAACGATAATCAAACACAGAGAGTTGCTCACCACTATGAACTCGGAGGTCAGGTTTCACAGGGTTAGAGCAAGACTGCTCTAACCGACGCATTGTAAATCTGACCTTTTACAGCCAGGGTAACATCATAAAGGTGTCAAGGATGAACGAGATTGGCATGGGTAGCTCTGGTTTTCGTTGTAAATTCACCTCTTCAACAACACCATCACCAGGACTTAAATACCTATCCAAATAAATGAACTCGACTACTCATAACTGCTCACTAGCAAGAATGAGTGCAAACACATCCTCCTACTAATCTTGTAAAAGTACTTTGGATGTAGGTGTAAAGCACACGTTGTACCGTTGAACACTAGCTGCTAAATGAACAAGTGAGTATTGTATAGCTTGAATATGGTCTGGAGTGATTATTATGTAAACCTTAGACAGTTACTTATCTCAGATCAAGAAATCACAATAGGGTTTGATCCAATCTTTTACATAGCCTTCAAGTGGAATTGGGCAAACATTTGGTCCACCCACTAAAACAAGACAGAAAGTCGATAAGTAATTACTGAATCACTCGATTACATTTACTAACAAAGTGCACAACACCCTATTTCATTATGTATATTTATTATTGATTAGTTCTTTAGAGAAAATTCTGCAAGTTATTTACACCTGACTACCAGTATATGCCAGAAATATCTTGAAAACAGTATCATTAGATACCGATGCATTAAGATTTAATTCATTGTTGGTTTCATTATTCTGGTTTGCTTATAATCACATACAAAACTTAATAAAGCGTACGTTACACTAAATTTCCAACTTGCAACACCATTATCCGTTAAGACAACCAATGTATTGTACGTAATTTGAAAATAATAAACTCATAGATATAAAATAAATTTACTCAACACAATAATATGAAGTTGTAAAATAAGCTATGTACGTATGATTCCTCTATCAGATATAAACATTATTTACATGATCTCAACGTTTTAAGGATAACGGTAGCAGTACATAACGCTGTTGACCACATCTGGCTTGAAACCTTCGTGCTCACCAATTGCAGAGCAGAAAAAAACCTACTAGAGCGTTGTTTACTTTACGTTTTATAACCAACAATCATTTCTAACTACGCTTTACGGATCCGTTTGCACTATTTAAATGAACGAATTTTTAACTTGTTCCAATACGTCCAAGAACACTATATGAGTAAATTATATCAATCATGAAAAACTACTTTTCAAGATGTAAAAAATCTGATTATAAATTATAATGTCAGTTTAAATTAGGATTATTATCATGAAAATTGCAACAACAAAAAAATACAAAATATCTCTTTAAACATTAGCCAAGGTAATCTAGTAAAGAGATGAATGATCTGATGCTATTGAAAAATTTCAATAATTTGTATTCAAGTTTCCATTCTTTTATCCATTGGATTATTTTCTTTTTTTCAATTTCTCTTGCTTTAATCACACTTTGAGGATCAGCCGGGTTAGGAGTTCTCAAATCTAAATGATGAGCAGCATCAGAGATATTAATGACTGTAGCAAATGGGACATAACTATTATTTGTAATTGATAATGCTGACCATGGATCAATTTCACCATTGCTAGAAATAGGATAAGAAGAAACATATCCATTAATTTATTAAAGAATTTAAATATTCTATCGTAAACAAATAGACTACTTAATTGAAGTGGAATACAAAAATATTGACATAGTTTTTAACATTAAGAAAATAGTACATTCAACTTCAAACTGAACGTAGAAAATGTACGTTATGAGGCGTAAAACTTATTAATGAAAAGCTATGATGATGAGGCTCATCAAACTGATATACGTACATTAGGCTTAAGACAACAAAGGAAGAAGTTTTGAATCAAGTGTCTAGACTAGTGAGATAGTCTTACAATGCAGAAATAAAGTTCTAAGGAGTACACAGAGAATTGACACAGTAATTTAGGCAATTCATCTTCAATAATCTAAACATGGAGTAATGTTTAAATGACACTGTCATATATTCGCGTGCAAAATAGCCAGTTATTACTATCATGTACTGAAAAAAATAGACATACGAACCGCAACCTAGATAATGCAATTACCAAATACATTTTCAAATGATTGCTGACAATAAATAATAACTTACTATGTTGGAAATGTCTTTCTAAGGTAAACAAAAACTTTGGCAGGTTGGAACGGTTAGATGACTAAAAGACAACTACTGACAAAAGATATTAAATTACATGTGAACAACATAAAAACATTGTCTCATGTGTTGAATTAAAGAAACCGTACATACCTGCATACGTATACATAGAAAGATCTATATATTTTTAACATATTTTTAAGCTAACAACACTGAATTGCTGACTGACCCTTTAAGAATTCCAATGTTATTAGTCAACTGAGTCTGAACCAAGTAACGTGATAGCAACAAATTTAAATCTTACTTCAATATGACTTGATGTACAAATTTTAATAACAGGTCCATTGGTCTAGGTAAATTTCTAGATTAAATACTGAGATTACTAAATGTATGCCCGGTAAGACTGGAGAAAGACATCAACATTATAAGAAACACGGTTGTTGGTGAGTGTTGATGTGAAGCAATCACGAAGCACAGGTTTATGGACTCGACTTTAGCTTATATATTTTGACGAGGGCTAGTGAAGTTAATCTCTTGCGGAAATGGAAATACTTGGAATACGTTCCAAACTTTTAACCTGGTAGTTTAAATTTAAATGCTTTGTTTATCATAATTAAATTGCTGATCTAATTCTTACTGTTGTGAAAGTTCCTTCATTTCTTTCCCATGTAAGCGCCATAACTCCAGATAATTCAAATGTTACACCAAATGTTCACTTACAGACAGGTTTTACATGTAAAATTGTTACTAAAAGATTATTTCTGGTTCTATATAAAAAAGTTACTCTTTAGAAAAAATAACAAAGACGTTTTGTTTTTTACCTGAAAATTATGTTGGTAATAGTATGTACTGATTTACTCCAAAATTCAACTTTTGGCCATTCAACGCGTGGACTTACACCAAATCGATTTTGACAAGAGATTGAGAAAGACTTAAGATCCCAATTTAATGGAGGCATGATGTTTACCGGCCCTGATGCACACATAGGTGTTGTCATCTCCATGCAAGTCTACAAGATAAGATAATAATGCCCATTATAATCTTAGATTTAAAAAATATTATTTCGACAAGAATAGCATTTACAGAAGATTGACCGTCAGCTATAAATAACGTTGAAAATAACACAGATGAGTAACAACCCACTTCACATTATTAAATCCAGAGAGGGGGTTAACAAGGTCAGAAGGGGAGAGAAAATAATATTATTCACTAAAACGGAAGCATGAAAAATATAGTTAAAAGTGAATTCAATTGAGGTATAGATGAGACTATATCACTAAGTCAGATCCTGCGCCATATGAACACTTACAACTTTTGTTCCAGTATTGGACATTCAGGTAAGCTGTGCGTAATTATATATGACACATGTTTCGACCAATTGAGTTGATGAACGTTTATACGGTGAAGGTCATCAAAACAACATAAGGAGAATGTTTGAGGACAGTCAAGTCAATCTTTCCATTGTGGTATCTAACATTTTTTAATATCCAAACACTGCATACCCATTTAACATTGCTTTGTGCTTTCACTTTAAGTGAAAGACTAGTATTAAAACCTCCTACGTACTTTTTAAACATTACTTATATTTTTAGTATTAAATCATAAACTTTGAGAGAAGTGGAGAACACAACGCTTTTTACTATATCCTGACAAAGACGAAAAGAAAATTAGAAATGTGGAAGTTAAATAATTGAACTTAACCGAATGGCGTAATGTAATTTGTAGAATCTTTGGACAGACAAATGTTTTATGACAATGTTATGTAGCCCTTACTGTAAGCTTTCTTTTGATTTTTTCGATGTTAATTAGATTCATTGTTATACAAAAGTAACTTATTTAACTATTAATATGCGAAAAAGCTGAGTTGTATCTTTCTTACAACTTATTCTGTATATAGTGAAGTTGATTAATTAGATTAGAAAATTATAGGTATAACTAACTGTTGATATACGTACTATGAAATCCAAGTACTTTTGACAAGGAGGATTTAAACAATATAGACTGAATAATTCTCATGCCATGACTATCTTGACTAACTTATTACAGTAAATCTTATCGCTTTATATTCACCTTTTGTTATTGTATTCGGTCGAAATAGTATAACTATTGCATTAATCCTGCATTCAAAGATACATTTTTCCTAAATGAAATAATAAATCAAAGTTCAGGCAGAATAATCACGTTTTTTAGATGAATCCTAATCTATAGATAACCATATTCAATGAACTATGATTTCAGATAGAATTCAAAGGTAACGACTATCAACATTTATTGTAAGATATAATTATTCTCGTGATTATATACTTATTTAATAATATTCAATATTTGATTTTAATCTGATAAGTTATCGAGTTTTACAAATTCTTGATACGATAATAAAGTTGAAATTGTTTTATTAGTTCATTTCAAATAAATTAAAATATAGAATAGATAAATTATGGGTTAACAGGAGTGTGAACTCAGTATCCAATTAAAACTGATTTGACTTTAAAAGATTCTAACCAAAATAATATTGACCAACCAATTCTTTATTCTTAACGTTTCTATTGGTAATCAACATTCTAGTAATCATGAGATTTTTAAAAATGAACGAAATGTTTTCTGTAGTCAATCTCTCTATGTTTTAATGTCAAATAAGGCTTGGATACTGATTAACACTGAAGAAACATTTCATAGTTTTAAAAAAAGATAAATGTACTCCTTATGTGAGTTTTTCGATTATCGCTGAGCTATTACTAATTGGAAAGTTAACATATGAGTAATCATTAAAAAGTAATTAGATAAGATGCAACACTCGCCCCCAAATGCCCTGGTACGGCCGAGAGTGGGGAGAGTCCGCTCTCCCTCTCGAAATACTCTCATACGGCCGCGCGTATACAGCCTCTGCCACGGAAGTCCTATTCATTGCCTTCTCGTGACAGGGGTGTTGTTTACGAAAATGAGAGGACGAAAAGCGAATGTCCGGCGCTTTAACCGGATCACAAACCAATGGTGCACATGGGCTCCAGTATCCTGGGGGAACAAATGGCGTATGAACCAATCGTTGGTCACCGGCTACCATGGTATGGCATCTCCTTACGATGCTCCACTGCCTTGTGGGTTAGACCTTTAGGTCAAAGGCTCGGGGAGTGGCCCCCTAAGAAAACCACCTGTTTCGGTTTGGGCACTCGAGCAGTATCGCAGCCGTCACACATGTCGAATGAGATTTGTGTGGCGCATATGTATTTGGTGCCTGATTATACCAATATCTATGTATTAAAATAAATAAATAAATAAACACTCTCACACACGAAAATGAAGTATCCTGTATTAAAACAAAGTAAATATTAATGGGACTAACTTGTAGATCCCATCCAGTAGTGTCCAGATTTGGCGAACTCGTTGAAATGTCTAAACACGTTTGATTCCCAGTATAATTTGTCAGTGATAGTATAGCCTTGGCTAATAAAGATATTCTGGTTACCACAGGTTGTTGAGGGTCGTATGCAGATAAATTGGTACACAAATACTGGATTAATGAGGAAAACCCAAGTGAAAAATCTGTTACCAGTGGGAAACGTGGTCATTAAGAGTAGAAGATACGCGTAAGTTACTAGTATTTGACTACAGACGCCTTAGAAAGGCTCTGATAATGAAAAAAAATCAAGTAATAAACTTCAACGTTATTTTAGTAGGCTTATTATCTATGGATTCGCTCAAGTTCTAGTTTGTCGGTATCTATCAGAGGAGAATACGAAGAAACAACATTATTACTGAAATTCTAGTCAATTAAAAACGTTTTATAAGTAATTAGTGCTTTAGAAATAAACAGTATGACTGAAAACTCAAACAGCTATAGTGAATCATGTTTAACTACGCAGTAAGTATACCCGATTTTTTAAAATTTGTTATTCGAATAATAAAATTATTGTGAAGAATACATCTTATCCGTTAATAATCCTAGAACAAGATAGTACTTTACTTGAGGTCAATTTATGCACACTTGACCATGTAATATAAACTGCTCCAAAATACAATGTGCCATCAGGGCTAAAACTTTAAAAACATGAGATATTGCCTTTTGAACTATTAAAATTTTTTCGTACGATAATTAACAGTAACGGGTTAGATTTTTACGAGGAAATAGATTCTATGTAGTCTTTTAAATTTTATTTCAGAATGACATACAAAAGCGAGTTAAACTTATATGCATCTTTTATGGCTTAAATTAGGTTATAACAAAGTGTATAGCATAAAATTTTAATTACAACCGATTTTGTTGATCAAATCACTATTCAACTCTGAAGAAAGTCACAGAGAGATGCTATAAGTGTATTTTGATTATATCTTGTACTGACTTTATTACGAAAATTAAATTCACCTTAGCCCCAAATTAACTATTGCAGTATATAAATTTATGATTTATAACACAAAAAGTTTGGTACATTACACAAAGACGCTAAGAAACGTACGATATGAAACAAAATGAAGATATCGTGAACAAATATGAAAGAGGAGATAACACAAATAATCGATATGGAAATAATAGAGTTCAACCAACAGTATAACCAGGATGAATCCCGTATAGTTTGAGTGTCGATAGACATGTATGACACACAATAAATATACCACAAACCTTGACTGGCCATTCAGGTAAAGCAAGCAGAAAGTTGGCTGGGTAAGGATAATTGACCATAGATATTGTTCCCAAAAAATCGGATAAGTAGTCTATGATATTTTGAACATCAGTTAAAGGCGTACAGACGTTAAACATGTGGGTTAATAATTCTTTCCCATCAACTAATAAAAACAAAATAATTGTGAACAGAGAAAAAGAGATTGCTATAGAAACATGTATTTTTAATAAAACTATTAGTCAAATAAAGATACAAAATGAGTTTATTTAATCAACAGAATATCAAAGAGTTGAGACGAGTCCATAAAATCAGTGGCTATCTGTAATCAGTAGCTAAGTGGATAACGCAATGGTGATTGAAGCGAGAGGTACTGGGTTTGAGTCACGGAATGAACATCAACTCTGGGATGTAGATATATCCAGCTGGCTAGTCCCGAACAGCACGAAATGTGCATCCTGGTTTTCATTGCTAGCCACTATCCATCTTAGCCTAAAATGTATCTAATATAGTTTAGCATCAAATATTAACCAGAATTTTTTATACTCCAAATACATATGGCAAACTAGAAGTGGAATGATAACGCATAAGTGAACATAAGTATTGTGCTACAAAAAGGAAGCACATAAGTAGAAAACACTCACTGATTTAATTTAAAAACTGATTATTACTTACTTTTTCTTTTAATTTCGTTGGTACTAGTGTGGTGCGTGCTATTATATTGATATAAGTAGTATATGACGCGAGTTAAAACGGAATGTCTGGCAGCAGAAGATGAGTAGAAGATAAAGAAAGGAAGAGCGAGAACACAATGGAATTTGTAAGAAAACGCGTGAACAATGGAATGGGAGACAATGGATTGGTGTTTGCAACAGAAACAGTCCAGTTTGATATGATGCATTGATATTTTGCAAATTGACGATTTAATATATGGTATTCAGATTTTATTGAGATAGTCTGTAATTTTTGTGCTAAATGCATTTGATTGTCCCCACCCGTGTTCTTGTTCACTACACTAGTTACCCTAAGAATACTCGCAATAATATTGTCTTTTCAACTAGCCAGATGACGCTTTAAACGAACCCATTTACCAACAGTAGCGCGTTACTCAGTCTTAAGCTAAAAAGAGAGGGCATCAACAAAGTCTAGAAACTTAAGTTCATTTACTATTGAAATACAACCAGACACGTGCAATGGAGAACCTAGCAAATATGTGTATCGGTTGAAGTTGTCACACCATATTTGTGCAACGAGATAAAATTATCAAGACAAATCTCATAGTAGTAAAAGTAGTAACAACACCAGTAGTAATAGAAAGAATCGGGTATAGAAAGAGAATAAAAACACAGAGTGATTTCAAGACTCAGAATCTAAGATTAGATAAAAAGTGGATGCATTTGGGCTATTGTGAACGATTCTGAGTCAAGTCACCCAACGTCTACAATAACTGATCGTGAATGCCGCGTGAACCCCAACCAGGTAGTCTGAACCTGTCCACATAGCTCAGACTAACAGTTAATAAATTCATGGACTAATACCATGTCTTGATGCGGCCACCCCTGTGACCTTCCCGTCTACTTCAACACCAAAAAGCATCCCATGTCGAGGCAGGGAATGGTTAAGCATAAGTGATAAATGTCCCAACTTCCTCAATCAATGAAAATTCACTACCTCACCAAAAGACTTGAATTCACCTGGTATCCCGTGTCTGACCCTATCACTTCTCACTCAATGGTCCAGAAACACATGAACAATGCTCTGAAGACACGTATGATTGAATACGAGTAACCCACTAATATCCTCTGTTCTTAATGGTCGTTTTACACATTGAACAGAACAGAGCGAGTTGCTGCTCAGCAAACTTGTCCTTTGGATGGTAGATAGATGAAGGATATTTTATTTATTCAGATAAATCCTGGTACAATAAGAACCACAAAAGAATGTGCGAAGTAAATGAATCAATGAAATTGTGGAAAAATAGGAGAAAATGGTAACAATCAGTGAAAATAAACAAAGTATTTAGTAGAAAATACAGTTCAGTTAAAGATACAACACAGAGACTTAAGGAGGATTATATCAGTATTATTGTGTGGAACAGGAAAGTACAACAGGATAACCACTAGTTTCCATTCTAAGCGATATGTCATAACATCTCAATCCACCGAGCTGAAACATTTCAAGGACTCTAACCAGGGAATAGTACACCGAATAATATGAAACGGTCGAAAATGGATAGTCCTCTAATTGATTCTCAACACGTAATCAAATGGCCATGTTAATAGCCTCTTTCAGGGAATTTTTACTCATTAGCTTCACGTGGCGAATCTGTTTTTACGAAAAAGTGACAAAGAACAAACGTCCGTCTTTGAAACCAAGTCGGTGGATTCGGAGGGTTCACCTAAAGGATTTGGATAATCCCGACTCCAGACGAATAGTGTACATGGGCTCCAGAATCCTGAAGCGACGAGTGGCGCATGAACTTATTTTGGTCACTGGCTATCATGAAACAATATTTCTTGATAGTACTCAACTGGCTTGTAGATTGGACATTAAAACCAAATGGTTGAGAAGTAGCACCCTAACGAAACCACCTACTTCGGTTTGGATGCTCTGGACAGTGTATCAGTACACACACAAATATCTTGATGAATAATTATGAAGAAACTGTTCTGTTTGCTCTACTTAGTAACCTACGTGAACGGTACGAACAACATAATGAGTAGAAACAAAGTCCTAATGGCAATTATCCCGAAAAATTAATGAGTCTGAATTGTTTTGCAGTATGGGTTATGCAGTGATTAAAGAATAAATCTGTACCAAAATTTCACTTTCAGTTTTATTCGCAGCGCATGATCCCTAGGAAACCTGTTGTTTTCAACAATCGATGAGGTTAGAGATTCGTTTGTTATCACACACATACTTTAATATCACGAAAGTATAAAGTAGTATTTGCCAGATAACATTTTCAGATACTACTTCTGTAATAGCAGCTACTGTGATGAAAACACTTCAAACAGTGTTTTCGCATAACATGACCTGAAAATTGTGTAGCAAAAAACGGAAACGAACGATTTCCATTTAAAATATAACGTATCAACCGGGTGCATGTAACAGTAATGTAGTTTTAGGATAAGGGATCAATAAACGTGTTTCAATCACTATATATATTACATATACATTAAATGTATATTTAATCATAGTAACTGAAAAATGTCCAGTAAACAAAGACCATATAAATAAAGATAAATATTAAATGGACGAAAAGGTTAATATAAGTCAGAATTTTAGAAGGCTTAATAACGATTTAATAAATGTCAGTTCACCTAGACAATTATGGAAATATAGACAGCTATAGCCATGAATTTTCCAGAACTACCAAAAAAATGAATTAACGCTTTTTAAACAACCTGAAGGGAAGATCGAAACAAGCCCACTAGCTTTTATCAAAACTGAAAAGGAAATAATTAATTTGGATCGATGAGCAGCGGGACCGTGTAAGCCAACTCTAGAGGTCTTTGAGTATAATAATAATCCAGTTTTAACAGTTAAGTTGATCAAGGTATTAGCTGAAGTCTGGAAACTGGACATATGACCATTTGACTAGCCTCGATCTCTGTTCGTCCTACTCTATAAAAGTATAGAAATCCTCTCATGACAACCGCAAAGGAATCAGTCTAACAAATGTAGTGTCTAAAATAACGACCTCCACAGTTGTTCGACATCTGGTGAAGCTCATAAACGGCAAACCCGAGAAAAAGAAGTCAATCCAGAACTGGTAGTGAAAATAGACCAAATCCTGACAATTCGCCAGGTTTTAGGGTATAGACCAACCTCGTTGTCCTGAACTAGTAATGCAACTTGTGTCATGATCTACGTGGATTATGACTGACTGAGTCGAAGATGCAAGCATATCAAAAAGTGCCTCAAATGTTTACCGGCCCAAGCTGTCACACCATGAAAAGAAAAAAGTCCAAAACGAAATTTATGATGATATTGAAATACTGTCTTCAGGACTTGAAAAAAAATAAATATGCCACTGACAAAGAACTGAAGTCGTACTACTCAAAATATTCAACTAATGATAACACTTAACCCAACACACCCCGGTCGGCAAACTTGCACGACTGAAGTCAACAATTAGTGACTTCGTAAACCAATGCCATGTTTTTGTCTGGTTATTCTTGAATAATATGTAATGAGGTAGAGCGCTATATCATATAGTAGTGATATAAATTATGGGGGATGTATAAAGCAACTAATAATAAAATCATTTTATTAATTTGCAACAACATTGAATATCATTAGTATTCGTTCACAACTTACTACTTTGACCTATGTCTACAATATTACTCCAAGAAAGTTGTATATTCTTCACACAGTTCTCGCCACCATATTTCAAAAAGCTATTTGTTGCTGTCATACTGAAACCATTGCAGTCAGATAATCCGGGAAACAGCCATACTGGTGCAGAAGAAGCTACAGCACTGTAAGTAGAGTCGCAAAAAATAAACAGATTATTGTAAATGTAACTTACAATAAAGATACTTTGGTTATGATTGTTAGATAAACAGAAATGAGCCAGTCTCAAGTACTCACACCAACATAATGAAAGCAGAAAACCAACAAGATGAACTCTTAAAAATATCATTAAACAGTAAAAATTTACAGAATGACATGCTAATGATTTGAGAAAAGGTCGAAAAGTGTAGACGGATTCGCAGCACAAGGATAGATTTTGAGATTCATTACACGAGGCTTTGAAATGATAATTTCCTATATCTGGTGGTCCCTGTCCATGAAAACAACCCAACAGTTATACCATCACGTCCACTTTTAACTTTTCTAATTTACACTTACTCCAGTTAACATAACATTCTGGAATCTATGATCCATTAGTATGCGTAACAGTATCTAGTAATTTCAATTAATGTATTTTGATGAGTTCATTGGCCGACTGACTATCCGTGCTTAAAATGAAGCGTAACCTTTGTTTGGCTGTCTCTTTGCCCCCATACAAAAATCTCTAAGAACTATTTCCAAAAGTTAGTTGTGTACTAGCACTAAAAAAAGACCATGACGAAAAACTTGCAACAGTTCAAGTAAAAAATGTGTATTTCTAAACAATACAAGCTTACGATATTCGTACACATACAGCAACGAAGGTTTAACAAATCCTAAGATAATAAATACCAACTGTCACACTAGAGTCATCCATTTGATCTCATCATGACAAACGGAGTTAGGAAGACTAATTAGGTTGTTATTTGAAACTCGGCAGATTGTATCAATATTACTACAAGTCAATCTACGTGAAGAAAATGGGGGAGAGGTGATAACATAGTTATTAATGCTTTGACCTACAAAAAAAAACATAAACATGCTATGAACAAAGACAGGACGAAACTACACAGTTAACTTATTAGGAATGTCGCCAGGTAAACACCTTACACTATTTTCTCAGCAACGTATAAAATTTATTGAGCATTTAATAGCAGTTGAATATTGTTTCACGATTTGTGATTTCTGAACATACAGATTTTTCATGTACTTTGGATAGAACATAAAGTTTTATTCATCCAAAGAATATGACTAATTGTACTATCAATAAATCAACTGCTCTTATTGTTCAGTGAATGTAATAGATCAATAAAATCAGTTATGCAATCAACAATTACTAGGTATCATATTATTGTTTTGCAGCAACAGCTCATCATAACTGCACCTATCACTTCAATGGTCAAATCTTAGTTATAAACTTACTTCTTAATCACAACAATTATCACCAATGAGTCATATTTCTCAATGAATTTAAGCATTGAGAGCAAAAATGAATGTATTGGACTGCAAACAACTCTTTATAATAAGTGAAAAACAATCTATCAAAATACACCTTTAACTACCCGGCAATTTGATTAGGGTACTTTTGTCTGATCCAAGCCGAGAGCATGCCGCCATAGGATCCTCCGAAAGCGATTACAGGTGATGAAGCAAAGCACGAATAATTAGCTTTTAGTTGATTAATTAGAAGTACATAATCAGCCAACGCTTGTTCTGCAGTTAGGTAACCAAAGTGCTGACGGTCCTTTGGAATTAAAAAAACATGGTTCTGATATCAACAAATTCCAAGCAAAGTATTGAGAAATTAGTTAACTCTCGATATATTAAAGGTGTACAGCAAGACATAAGTAAAATCAAGAAGTAAACTGAAGAAATGAAATGTTATAAACAGCTTAGTTTCTAGTAAAAATTGTTTAGCTAGATAGGAACCATTTATATCACAAATCCATACAGAATTTTAATGTTTAAATACCCCATAAAGGCACAGAAAGCAAAAACTTGAGAGTAGATCAAGAAGACTGTTTACTAGTTTTTGTCAGCCTAGGTCAGCATCCAGACGTTGTTAATTAGGAAAGTCTAAGGCGCAGTGGGTAAATATACAATATTTTAAAAGTAGCTGAAGAGTCTGCAGCTGTGGGTTCTTAAGCCCATAAAACTACTTTGCCGTTAAGATATCATGTTAAGTATTCTGAAAAACTGTCAAGATACCACTGAAAAACAACTTTTGCACAATGATCAAATTTTAAAAACACTTAACTAAATGCAACCATAAATAAGAGGGTTCTCTAGGAAAATGGCCATGAACAAAAAGTACTATGCGAGATAACAAATGACACACTATTAAAACTCACTTTGAAAGAATTATTCCCGAATGGGAGAGAGGTTCCGTAATACCGATGTTCGGCAAAAACAACAGAAGCATTAAGTTCTTGAGAAAGCTTCCAGATAAACCCCTAAATTGTAAAAATTATAGAAGTTAGAGTCATCAAAATTATAGTGCCTAAGCAATTACTGAGTTCTCTGCAAATGTTTCTATGGCACCTTCATTTCCTGTGTAAAAAAATATCGGGCCACCCGGAGTGAACGATTCGTTGTTAATTAGATACTTGATAAAGAACTTGTCATCATTTACGAAAGAAAAGTGATCAATCTAAATTATTGAGAATTTTATACTGCTTGTGTGAATAAGTACCCTGGTCCAAAAGTATCTTGTTTCATATGTGAACTCCGGATTCTTGATGGTTGACCACGGAAAGTGTCTGGTTACGAAACCGAACGACAGAGGTAATAAACAATTGAGAACCAAAGCCAGTATCATATTTCAACCTTGTGGAGGTTCGCGTCTAACCAGAATATACTTTGTATACTAGGGTAGCATACAGTAGCGTAAGGTAGACTAGTAAAGAGAAAAAAGAAAAGGTGGATCGACAATCCAGGAAGCGCACACAAAGCACATATATTTAATGACAGTATCAATCTAGAACAATCAGAACCAACAACAGACTAAGACTAAGACAATCTCGGAATGGGAATGAGAAGCATATGGCCTAACCCGCTAAAACTTTACATATCACAAACCGCGCTAGAACACAATGAGAGGATAGTCAGCGCATTTCATTCTCTTTCAGTTTTCAATCCTTGTCAGTCATAACAACAAACACGTTTTAGGATCTGAATCTTAAGTATCATAAGCTATTAGTATATATAGGAAGTCCATGACCTCATAGTGACATTTAAACACTCTAAAATGACACAAAATCGTTTTGTTAGATATTTTATTAACTGTTTGTTTCATTCGGTTTGTATCCGATCAGTTATAGAGCAGGATTGGTAAAAAAAGAGTATAATTCCTGTTATGTTCTTTCCATGGACCAAAGGATTGAACAATTCGCGTTATTCATAGAATTAAACGACGGGTAAGACTCAGAGAAATTTTTAGTAGCATGTTGATCCAATTCTGATTTGATAGCATGACATCAACTCAATGTCACGCGCTGTCTGACTCATCAATGTCTCATCAACACTAAGGTGAATAATATGAGTATGATTTACTACTAGACACTACATATCCCGGTTGTCAGTTCTATAACTTACTAAATCAAAACTGAGAAGAAATTTGCTAGGATTTTTGCGTGACGCCATACATATAAGCAAATCATTGATGTGTCCCGTAAGAAGTGTCGAGCGAAGTAAAAATGAAATGAGATAATCTGGAAATATATTTACTTAAACCATGTTCACAAGTTGAATTCCGAAAAATAAGAGAATTTCCACGTTTAATTACAATGGGTCTCCAGTCGCTCGAAATCGAAAACAACATCTCCCATCAAACAGATGGTTCGTACTCGCAAAACTCAGTTGATTAGTCCCTCATAAACTTAAAGCCATGAAAGTTGTGTTTAATCACTAGCTTTCGCTATGTGTCATTGATAGGTAATCGTTCCACATGGCTCCGAATAAAAACGAACGTAACTAAACTATATGTACAGTTATGGTCTACTTTGTCATTGGAACAACTATAATGATAGACCTTATCCTAAAATTGTAGACTTATCATGATATGATTACCTAATCTATAAGATCTTACGTGGAAGTTACATCATCTATTCTGATTCGATTCGTAACAATCCGCAATAAAACGTTTGAAGTTAGTGAAGAACACATTTAGGTTAAGGATAGAATAATATATTTAATGTGAGTAGAGACTAGTTATACAGAATGACTACGTCTACAAGGCTGAGCCATGCCATCTGACTGAATGCATATTGCCGCGTTCACCACTGTTGGCCTTCGCTCCAAATCAAATGCTGGATATCTATTTTCTCAGTTATCTTGTGTTCAGCTTTGAGTATTGAGTGGTTATAACCAATACCACTACATAGAAACCTCTCAACAAATAGACATTACCTGATGAGCTACTGTACTGCAAGATGAAAATTGCAACCACGATGACACGTGTATTTAAATTTTATACTATATTTGTGATTGAGAGGGACGTTCCTAAGAAAGACATCACAACAAATTTTAGAGTGAGTTTGTCAGAATGCATGTCACTCTGATAAATGCAAAGGTTTATAAGTAGTGCCAACAGACTGGAAAGGGGAATATTTCATCAAGATAAATTGAAAAAAGATTTTAGTAAGTGTGAGAAATACAGAGACATCACACAGCTATCAGTACCACAAAAAATTTAAAAGTGTGACAAGCCCAAGTGAAACCAACAGGCTGACCTTTGTGAGGATCATTGCTGAACAATCGCTTGAATGGAACCCATGTTTTTGCATAAATTCATTAATTATAGAAATGCACCCGAGAGCTATGACAGGAGGACCTTATGGGGTCTCTTCGACGCTATGGGGCATTCGAGGCAGTCGACACTGTTATACGAGACTCACTGGAGGCAAAGGTATTCAAATTCATGTATTTGGGTTACTCACAAAAGTGTTCCAGGTGAAGACTGTTAACGTATAAGACTTCATACTCTCATATTCTCCCATTCTTCTCCTTGTGTTCTGGACATTGAAGACCTTCATACCTCAGAACTACAAGATAGATAAACATTTGGGACATGTCTGGAAAGTCTGGACTTCGCCAGTGACCCAGCCGTTCTGTCCCATATGCAGGAATAAATGCAGGTAAAGACTCACAGTGAAGCAACAGCTTCCATAGCACTAAGCCTCTACAGTTGCAGGGAAAATGGAAGAACTCGAAATACGATAAAACGGACAATAATAAATTCACGTTTGATGCGAAGCTTCGGAAAAGAAATAAGTCTTTACATACTTGAGGACATTAATGATAAACAAGAAGGATTTAATGTACATATGAAAGCACGAACTCGCATGTGACGTTAATAGTCCTACCGTTCTAGAATATCTGGGACTCGAAAAACTGTCACACAACACCGAAATCAAAACTGTTGTCCGAAACGTTGGAACATTCATGTCTAACGAAGCTGAAGCAAAAACTAACGTCAAGAACGTGAATCTATTCTTAGAAAGCTATCCACTGAAGATACTGCAGATCAGTAGAGTTATGGACTACTTTGTTATTAGTACTGCTCTAATAATGGACCTAATATTGTAGATTTCTCAAGTTGTAACTGTCTAATCTATAATTTCTTACATGGAAGTCCTATCATTGTCTATATTGACTGATCGTATAGTAACAATTACCAATATATGACATAGAACACATTCAGGTTGCAGATAAAAAAATATGTTGAATATGAGTAAAAGTAAATTGTACAGAGCGACCACTCCTGAGAGGCTGAGCTATGCCACCCGATCGCATCCAATTCGACTCATTCTTCCCGCCCCCATCGTTGGGTTTTTCTCGGCGTTAAATTTTAAACATATTTTTTCCAAGTTGTCTCGTGCTTAGCTTTGAGGATTGTGTGGTTAGGGCTCAATGGCACTACAGATCTACTGACTAGAGACGAACAAAAATAATCTATTATAGCAGAGAATAAACCAACTGGCAGTTGATTCGGGAATTAAGGAGAGACTTTGAACATAGATAGGGTACTTCTCACGAAACCTTTTAAACTCCATCGTAAGGTGAGAACAACCTCGGAATCCTTAAGGCAAAAGGAAACTATTCAGACCAAGCAATCTAAGGATGACATTAAAAAGAAGAGAGCGGTTCATCGTGCAGCCAATACCTTTCAAAAAGAGTTCATCATTCGGCTATACTTACACCATAATTTGCTCTGTATGATCACGGATAAGTGAAAGACAAACTTGTGCTAGTTGGGATTATATAAATTCGCAAAACTTTTTCGCCAACATTTCAGCAGCTAATAATCATTTGACACGTGACTGAGCCTTGTAAACATTGTGCTGGCAAGGTCTAATTATCTTTCATCCGGTTCATGTCTGATGGCGACCTGTATGTGGTATGTGTTGTTTTCATGTGGCAGATAATCAGGAAACGGACTCTCTGAGTTTCCTGTTTATAGTGTAATACTGCCAATTTTTCGCGACAGGACATTCATATGGTCTATGAATTCGTTGATGAGGTGGCTGACTAAACTGCCTTCTTACGTTCATGTTTGCATCATAATTGAGGATGAAGATGCCACAAGTATTTGGAGTTTGACAACAATTCAACCAGTAACACATTCTATAACTGAACCGTGCCTACCCAGTGAAACCAACAGCCAGAAGCGTGGAGGTTAGAAGAATTATTTGATATGTTATCAAAGCATCGAGAAGTGACTGGCTAGCGGTTGCAGGATGATCATGGTAAAGATTTAACCAGTTTGTAATTTGTCATCAACAAAATTTGGATTTGCTGTCGCTAATACAGTATCCACTCATTGAAAAAGCCTAATTTTCATACTCTTAATAAGATATCGAGTGGTTACGTTTATGCAGTATTCTAGGTAAGGTCCGTCGTTATCAAATTAGAAATTTCTGTGCAGATTTGTCAGATGATTGTCTTACATAAACTAGGAATTGAGGCCTGTGTAAAAAAGCTTAGACAGACCATTCACTTATGAGCACTTGTGTTGTTTCTAGGCTTTTAAGTTAATTCTAGGAAGAGTGTGCTCATGCACATCGGATACGGTAGTAGTTAACATTATACTATTGATGGTACATCGCTTCCACGCGTTCAAGAATATAACGACTTAGGAGTAATAATAAGTCATGACTTGAAAAAAACTACTCATTGCAACTCAGATGTTGTCAAAGGTTTTCGCTAAGCAGTCAAATGCTTTCACGTGGAAATGTTTCAAAGTATATATCCCATCTATGTAAGACCACATTTAGAGTACAGTATCCAAGCAGCTAGCCCATGTCTGATAAAGGATACTAACCCAAATGAGAGTGTTCAGCGTGTGGGAACAAAACTAGTGAAGGGTCTTTTTAAACTTCCCTACGATGAGCGTTTAGAACGCCTAAAGCTCTTCCCCCTTGTCGTATCGTAGGACGCGAGGTGACCTTATACTGGCATTTCGTATCTTTAATTATGATTTGAGTGTTAATATGTCTTGTTTTTTCTCTCCTTCAGCACTAGTAGTCTTTGGGGTCATAGCAAGAAGGTTCACAAAGCGCAATCTAATAAGCTCATTGAGAAGTCAATGACCGTGAAGATGGCACAGGTATACAGTGTTTGACAACGCTTTTACCAGTAACACCTTCTAATATAACTCGTACCCACCAAGAGAAATCAAAAGACAGAATCGAGGAGACCAGAAGTTGTATTTGACGATTGCCAATATATCGGAATTGTCTGATCTAGTCTGGCTAACGATTGCAGTAGATGTTGAGCACGGCGTTCCCACACGTGATCTGGTGCGGATGTATGACCGAGCACCTTCAGCTAGGTGAGTCAATTAAAACTAATCTGGTCAGCATCCAATGTTGAAAATTTACAGGTCTATTTATTTTTGGGATTTATTTACCGCTACAACAGGAACGCCATACCCGAACAAGTGGTATCAGCCCTATCAGCGAATATTTTCAAGGAGAGGCTGAACCTTCATCAGAAGGTAATCTGTCGGGAATAGCACAGGTTCTCCAACTTACTATCCTTATAATCGAAGACTTAAGATAGAGGTCTCAGGAATTGTTCAAGGTCGCCGCGGTTTAATAAACATTTCACCTGCTCTGGGCGGCAGCGCTCCAGGGGTATCGCGACGCTTTTTTGCGCTACTCGTCACAAGGTTTTCTTAATTTGAGGTTTGTGTTAGTTCTGATTGTTGTCAACTGGTTTCATTATTAAATGTTAGTGCTTCATGTGCGGTTTTTGGGTCGTCGAGTCACCTTTTCTTTTGTTCTCTTTACTATTCCGTCTTATGCTACTGCATATACAGTAGCATATACTACCTTAGTATATAAAGTATCTCCCTGCTAGGCATGAACTCTACACCAGCCGTAGCTCATTCGCAACTTCTTTTTTCGATCGCCAGTTTTTCTTCATGTTTCATTATCGCAAATTGTTATTCACTGCTCTCACTATTGGTTGTAAGGATATTCTACGTGCTTACTGAGTCGTTGGTTCATTTATCGTACGAGATCTACTACACACGTAGTAGGGTATGTGGAAGCTTAATGAATAACTTTTATAAACCTGTATATAATTCATTAACAAAATGCATGATCTCGTACATATTTAGTTATTTACATGTTCATTTTAAGCGAATGGTTGTGTGGGATTTTAGAATGAGACGGGTATGTCATTACTTGATAATACAGCTGACATACCTGTGGTTTTTATACAGACGAAATAGTGTTTTTCGACCTTCTAAGGGATGTTAAGCAAACAACCACAGTTAATTTCAATCTGTTAGAGCTAAACCTGACAGTAATGTGGCGAAGTCTTCCCGTATCTAGTTGATACATTTCGTTGCAAGACCATTACTATGCATATGTACCATGACGATTGGTACGAATTTATTGTGCTTCCTTGTGCTACGTATATCTTTTCATTCCTGGAGTTAATAAAATGGGAAGAAAATATTACATCCCTTTAAATAAAATCACTGTTAATGTACCATAAGATACTTCTAAGTGTTCACTATCCCCATTCAGTGTGACATGAGAGTAATTGTAAGGACTGTTAGTCAAATTTATACCTGAAATTACACTATGAACACTGACCTTATGATAACTTCTTTTTCTTAATCGCTTCCGTGTAGACTTTAGATAGTGATAAGCTGTGTGAAAATTTCTAGGCTTCATTAATCATGTATCTATGGCTTTCAGTTAGTAATTTATGGCTATATGAAGTGAATACTATCCAGTTGCGGCATTGTACATCCACTTTTTTTCTTTTGTTGCATGTATGTATATCACATATCTAGTTGTAACTTCTCTTCTGATTCCTTAGTACAGTTAGTATCATTGCCACTATTCCTGTTAATTTTGTTTACGTGTTAGTTTTCCCTCGGTTGTGTGTCAAGCTTCAAAACGACAATGATCAGTTACTGACTACATCTTAATAAATTTAGGTGAGACTATAATTTATGTACGAACCAATCAGATATAAGATAAATTCAGTCATCCATTTGGCTAAATATCGTTTTGGCATTTTAGCTGTCGTCATTTCGTGATGAAAACCCTAAATTAAGTTCCTAACCATCATTTGTAAATCATAATTCTAATTCCTCACACTAGTTTATAACCCTCATTTAATCCCAGTTAGTAGGTATACACTATCAAGGTCACTCTGTTGTCTCTCAAAGGTTGCCCATAAACTAGTCTCACCAAATTTACTGTTCTTAAATTTTATTTGGGTACGGATGCACGTCAAGATGAATGGTAGTTCATGGCTAACAATAGTCTTTATATGTGTTAATAATTTGAGTTAACGGTATCAGCAGTGATAGTAAAACCAACCAAATACATATTTTGTATATGGTAAGTGAAATCAAGGACCTAGAAGTATAAGATCATATTAAATCTCGTAGCCCTTAGGAAGACAAGTACTAGGTATATCTGGGCTAAGGTCACCAGTTTACTAATATACTATCTAATGTCTTTAACCACTAATTACGCTTATTACGCGAACCTCGGTCGGACAGCAAGTATTGGAACTAAATACAAAGTTCCTAATGTCCTATTCATTGCATACTTTAAGCGTTCTCGTCGGTGAGGTAGCTAACAGATATTTCATTGTTTTTATTTAGTTCTATAGGCTGTTGCAGTTAATCTCATCTTTTTCATTAATATCAACTTACACGAAGTGAGATCACCCCTTACACCTTCAAGTAGTTACAGCAAACCTTTGATGAAAAGCGTTTATAATTTGTTTTCACGCTCAAGTATATATTGCGTCCGGGGTCTATCTAATAGCTTTCTTTATGGAGATGAAATACTAGTTTCTAATAAAGCCTTAGAGGTCAAAAGACATAGAAAGCGTCAAGTTAACATTAATACTCATTGTGCAGAAAATGTGCCGGTTTGTAATACAAAGAAAAATTTTTATCCTGAGTTAAATGAAAATGATTTGAAAATCAGGTAAAAGCGAAACAATTGTTTATTTATCTCTTTAGAAAGGTAATACTTCAAAGTAAGGTATCACTATCACATGATGGTTCTGGAAAAAATGAATCTTGTAAATATCCTACAATTATTCTAGAAGGAAGCAAACTAATATCAGATGCACTTGCAACAGGGGCGAAAGCCACATCTTTGTTCTTTTCTTCACAGGATGTTCTGCAAAAAGTCGGTGATTTAAGCAACGTATTAAGTATCTACTATGTTAATCATCGAGTTATGGATCAAATCTCGTCACTTCAATCTCCTCCCGGAGTAGTAGGTAAATTTGTTTTTGGTGTATAATCACACTTTTATCTTTCATATTGCGAATTCAATGCAGATCTACTAGAGAAATATCTA